AGGGTTGGTGTATTTTCGGAAATGGGTCTCAAATTAGAGCCCAAACCAGTCCAAAATCCGCCCCTGCCCGTCTCCAAGTCCAGGCCCAAAGCCATTTAACCCGGTCCATTCCAGATGACCTCCAAACGACCCCGTTTTTGCCTCAATCCATCACAGTCGTTGGATTTTCATCATCCAACGGCCCGAAACTCCTTTGTACCTTACTATATTAAGGTTCGAAGAGACCGGCCCCCCCCATCGGACCCCTCTCACTTTGGCTCCTTCTCTCTAAACATTCAAACCCTAGCCGCCCTATACTCCACCGCCATTCCACCGCCTGCCGCCCGCCGGAAATCGCCTACGGCGGCGGCCGGTGGCCAATCGCCACCATTTTTACACCACAGATTCCCCTCCATCTCCTCCTTCCTAATCTCCACTCCTCTTTCCTAGAATCCCCGCCGAGCTCTTCGAATCTTGAATCGAAAGAGCCGGCAAAAACCCTAAGTCGTCCAAAAATTCCCAAATTGACACCATGGGAACCCCGTCCTATCCTCATCCTAAATCCCCAACCAATTTTCTTTGAACCCCCACTAAATGACTCGAATCTTGGATCTAAGATTCAAACCAAAAAAAAACCCCTAAACCCCTTTTTTCTCTTTCGCCAGTCGGAGTTTTGGTCAAATGGACTTCAAAACCTTCATTAATTGACTGTTCTCTTCAAGAACAGTCAATTAATGTTGGTCCAAAGTCCATATTGCTTCCAGAGTTTTGGACGAGACCCTGTTTCGATCCTGGGCCGATTTTTGATCGGGTAAAAATCCTTTTCTTCCTTTCTTTTAATCATTTTATTTTGGTTTCTGTTTTGTCTCTTCTTTGCATGTTTAACTTTTTTTTTTTAACAGCATGATTAGGCTTTTGTTTGCCCTTTTTGTGTTAGCTGATTAATTCCTGAAGTTCCTACGAATTAAAGCATGTTTAAAAGTTCAAACTCGTCTTAGGTTTATCCGTCTTTGATTTTGATCTGGTAGTTTCTTTTCCCCTTCTTTTGCTTGTTTAATTTTTGATTTCTGTTTCTCCTCTGCATACTGTTCTTGTTTTTAGCAGCATGTTTAGGTTTTTTTTTTAGCTTCGAATTGTTTCCTCTTCTTTGTCTAATTCGTTTTAAGTTTCATTCAGCAAATTGCATAAGTTTAGATATCAGGTTAATTGTTAACTCTCATTTGCTTCTTTGTTTATTGCTAATTTTGTCCTTAATTTGTGTTTGAATGCAATTTTCCTTTAAAGACAATGCATGTTCATTCACTAATTAATTTAGTTTTAGCCTTAAATATTGCATCAGCACTTCTCTTTGAATCATTTCAATTTAGGTTTTACCCTTTGTATGAACATCAGTAGGACTTAAGGGACCTAAGTAAACATAGAAAGAATATGAAATAAGCAGTAACTTAAAGGGTAAAACTGGATTTCTACTTAGGCTAAAATTAGAAGGTTCTAGTATTTAGGACAGTTGTCCCTATCCTTAGCAAAAATGCTGATATTGGATAAGAAAAAGGACATACAGCTGTCAAAAGGTGTTGTACTATTCTGAAGTTTTAAAATTAGGTCAGAATATTCTCTTGTGAGATGCTCTTTAGGCACTCTATATAAAGAAAACATTCACTCACTCACACACAGATTTTTCCAGCACTAGTTTACTGCACAAAAAATCATTCTCTCTTCTGCTGAAAAGACTAAGTTTCAAACCTTGAGAAAAACTTTCCTCCTTGGTTTTCTGAAAAGCTGAAAATGACTTGAAGTAGAAGAACTTCTCTTGGTCTTCTTGAGTTAAAATCTCTGGGTTCTTGAAAGTTGAATTTGGATTGTGATTTGGCTGTTGCTTACTGCTTGCTGTTGTTCACCATATTCTTGAAAAGTTCAACTGTTTAGTGACCTTTATTTGGTCCTTGTTTGAATCCTCTCTAGGTATGTAACCATGTTTTGGCTATGAGAATGACTCTACTTGTGCAATCTGAAGTTATTCATGACTATGTGTGTATGGATGTATGTGTCAACAGTAGAAATTAATGTGTTTGTTCATTATTCTTCATCAGCTTTTCATATGTCTTTCCGTGCATTTCAGTATGTAGAAAAATGTTATTAAAATAGCATGAGTAGTTGTATCTTATGACAGTATTTAGGCTTGGTTTATAATGCTTTCTTTCTCTCCTTCATCTGATTCCTTTTAGTCCAAAATACTGCTTTAATTTGTCTTTTGACTGTTTGATCATAAGCGGTAGCCTATTGGTTTAGCCACCAGTTGGTTGGACCAATTGGTTCTGAAAGCTTTTAAGGAAGGATTTACATGTTCTGGGAAAGAAGATGAGGCTGCTAGGATTTTGAGCTGAAATCTTTAATGATTTATGTGTTTTAACCTTCAATATGGTTAAACTCATGAACAATCATCTTTTTTTTATTATTATTGCATTTTTAAGCTTTAACTTAGGTCTGTCAAGGTAGTATGACTGAAGTAATCTTGTGAATCTGACCTTTTCCATGGTCAGATCCATGAGATACCTAGGAAACAAGGCTGATTTAGCCACAAGAAGTCTCATGTTAGGAGCCTGGGCAAGTAGCTTTGTGAGAAGCAGCTCAATAGCTGGCCTCTTGCAGATGTTGTGCCTTGGATTTGAAAGAAGTGATGAAAAGGATTCTGGAATCAGAAGGAACCTTCATTCTTATTTTTACCTTTCTTTTAGACATTAGCTGTTAATGTGCTGATTCATTAGGAGTAAAAAATTTATTGTATAAATTTTGGGACGTACAAGGTTGTAAACGGACTGTTAATTTTCAATTTATGTTTAAGTAGGTTTTCAATGTTATATTTTCCTCTGCAATGAATATACTTGGGGTTGTGCGTAATTGTAAACTGAGCTATATTTGCAAACAAGCCCAAGTCTTGGGCTCATCGAGCAAATCTGACCTAGGTGATTGGGCCTGGGTCACAAGCACAAACCCAGGATTTACCTCATAGGTCATGGCATAAATATGACGTTGTTTGCAAATCATACGTGTTGTGATTAACATTCAATTTTGGTGGTTGTGAATCTGGATTTCTTTAACTCAAAAAGAATGTTTCTTTTGTAGTTACTGATTTATGTGTATACCATGGTTAAAAATGCAAAAGGGGTAGATAGGCCCAGCCAGGAAATTTAGTAACTGGGCCCGCCTGATTTTGGCCCAATGTGAGCACAAACTTGTCTAAGTTCTCAATAAAGGCAAAAACTCTCAAGTTCTTTCTCTAATGGGCCAAGTCTTAGGCCCAAATGCAGCTCCATTTAAAAGCTGAACCTTTCTTCTTAATTTAAGCCCAGATTTCCCATTTCTAGTTAAAAGACCTCTTGGTTTAAGCTTCAAAATTAGTGGTCTTAACTAAATAAAAATGAAACCCCCTTTAGTAAAAATAGTTTGGGGTGTGCCATATACAAATATAATCTTTAATTTATGGCCCTCATATAGATATATTAATTTAGAAATGCCTTGAATACTCGTAGTTTGCTTTAGGCTAGTATTGTGATTATGTATACGTTCGCGTAATATAATTGCAAATTTAATTCTTAAAAGACTCGAGGGATGCGTTCGCGCAACTTCAACTAAACTTTTCTTAATAAAATAAACAAAGCGTTATTAATTGTGGACACGTTCGCGTGACATGATTTTTGACGCGCCAAAAGAAAAGAGTATACGTATGCGTAACTCAATTCTTTAATTACGAATAAATCAAGTTTTTAAAAAGCGGTAAAAAGATAATTGCACATAGGTCTTAAAAATGAGTAGTTAAACAATATAAGCCAAATAATAATCATTAAGCGACCGTGCTAGAACCACGGAACCCGGGAATGCCAAACACCTTCTCCCGGGTTAACAGAATTCCTTATCTAAAATTTCTGGTTCGTAGACTCTTTTAAAATAAAACTTCCTCGATTTGGGATTTAAAATAAACCGGTGACTTGGGACACCAAATATTCCAAGTGGCTACTCTGAATTGAATAATTAATCCCATTTTGAATAATGTCACTTAAATTGGAAAAACTCGCCTTATATACCCCCCCCCCCCCCGGGTGGTGTAAAAAAAAAGGAGGTGTGACAAATATTTTTATTGTTTTATCCTTAAAATATTCCTTTATATAACAAAACTCCCACATCGATACTCACCGCCTAGAGTATTTTTTCAACCTTTCAAGTCTGCAATTCTCATTGACTATTTAAGATAAACAAATTCTCTCTTCCTTTGCATATTTATATCTATGTGATTGTGTATTAGTCTTTGAATTGTATGTAATAAATGAGGAGGTATCAAATTTTTGGTGTATTGCTTTCTAAGTGTTATGATGATGCAGGCAATGTTTGTGTCTCTTCAAATATTTTAGCCTATTTAGATTTATTAATTATTATAACTTATGATTATATGCTTATCATAAAATAAATTATATTTATCATAAAAATTATCTTATCTAAGCACAGTTGTATTTAAAATAAAATGACAAATAGAATATTTTGTATTTGAATCGATCTGGAATCTAAAATTTTAAAGAAATTACGCCCTTATAAGTGTAAACAGTTCTAAGGTTATTTAAGTCATTTTAACAGAAAAAGAGCTTATCAATACTTTTTATCAAATACTGCAACAACTTATTACCAATTTGAGCGCTTGCACCCAAACACGTAACTGTTTATTTATTAAATCAGTTTCAGCACTTAAAAATACTTTTCAGCACTTAATGCTTATCGGCTACTTCAAATCAGCTAATCCAAACAGGCTCTTATTCTAGTAGATAATACCTGATTGGGCCTTTTAAATGGCACCTTTATGGGCATATATTGGGCCGAGCAACTTACTCAAATTTCTTGAGAACAAGCCCACAGGCAAAATCTCAGCAAGAAGGGTTTCTCATCAGCTTCAGTGAAAGCTTTCTGTATTCACGGTGGCACCTTGAAGCGCGCTCCCTTACTCTGGTATTACTTCTCTTTTTTTTCTTCTTTTTTTTTAACCCCTTCTACTTTTGGCATGACAAAATCTGATTTATGCTTCTGTTCATCAGCTTTTTATTGTTGACTGTGTTTTCTCATATGAGCTGAATCCCGCAATGTTGTAAAAGAACAGCTCGATGCTTTATCCTTTGAAACCAGTAAAGATTATAACTTTGTGGGTAGGCGAATGTCACGCTTACATCCCTGCTATTCGTTTAAACATTTTCCTTCCATATTTACTTTATCGGAATCAATGGCTCGTGGTCGTTCAAACAGTGTATGGTATAGTTCTTGACTTAGTTACTGCTTCTGCTACGGCTTTAATCGCCTGGATTTGAATGAGAAAAGGAGAAAGGTGAATATGAGGACTCTGTGTTATTGATCTTTCATACCTTTCTTGTTGTGTTAATATTAGGTTAATAAATTGGCTGCATTGGTTTTAGTACTGTCAATATTCATATGCTTGTCCAATTTGCTCACATGTGACCGTGATTACACCTATTGAGTACTTACCAAGTTGCTACATTCCGTTGTTTGTCATAAAAGAATCTGCTTAATTATTATGAAGTTAAGAGGTGATCTTAGTTCAACTTCTCAAACGCTGTCGTCATATTCCAGCTCACGACTCACGAGCTATAGAGTTGAGTGCCACATCGACAATGAAGGGGATGTGTGGTCTCCTTGTATGTACTTGGACAATCCTCACCTCTTGAGTTAGCTTTTGGGGTTGAGTTAGGCCCAAGGTCCATTTAACACAACCCACGCTAGTGTGTCCGAGTTAGGTGATAGGTTTTTGGTGTTATTCCATATAGTATCTCTTTTTTCCCTTTGGGCTTCGCATGTCACATATGGTATTTGATATCAACCTTATGAACGAACCCAAAAAAAGATATATTGGGGTCAATTCTCAATGAAAATTGCATCCTTGCTGGTGAACCAAGTAGCGTTTAAGTGGAGAAGGGTAGAGGACAGGAATATTTGAAGCTGCCTATTTCTGGGTTATTACAAAATTTCGTATAACGTTGGGTTCTTTTCCTTCTGTTGACTTCATTTGGCTGTGAAACAGGTTGTTTAAATCTTGAACCGAGAATTCAAGAACACTAGCCAAGATGCACCGTAAAGAGTGTAGAAACACATGGATCTCTACATCCCTATGCACATTGTAGATTTATGTGTCTACTCTGAGATATTTTAATGTTCATAGATTGTAAACTTATCTGTCAAAAAACTAATACATGGCTTAGTGTCACAGAATTTCATGATCTCAATAATAAATGTTGTACGAATCAATCGTCAAGAAGAGCGTACCTTAAATCATGATGACTCTCCTCAAAACGTTGAGCAATATTTCCTTTTTTGCAGCTAAAACCTGTGAGAAACTCATTTGTCTTCCCTTCACCCTTTTTTTAGTTGTGTTTTTATATCTCACGTTCCAAAACTTAAGAGAAGTTAATGTTAGTTATATAAGGTCTCCGATTTTGATCAATCGGAGTTTAATATTTCTTAAAGTCAAATAACTAAAATAGGGAAACTTGCAGTCTCACAATTATTGTAAAGTGGGCACTCCGTACATTTAATGCAAAGAGGCTATATGTTGATTAAAACCTCTTTTGTAGTCAACTTTTTTACCTAAGATATTTCCATAAGCAAGCCTCCCCAGACTTCACTTGTGGAATTACACTGAGTTTGTTGCTGTTGTTAAGCCTATATTTTGTGGTGGTTGATTACGAAGAAGCATCCTATTCTATGTTGCACAGACTCTCCGAAAATGTGGCCGGATACGTGTTGGATCCTCCAAAAGTAGTGCATTTTTGAAGGATCCGACACCGGTGCGGCTACGTTTTGGAGAGTCCGCGCAACATAGATCCTATTCTGATTCTTATTGTAGTTGTTATAGTTTCTGATAATAGTGCAAGAGAAGGAAAAGGATATGTATTCACTAATAGGATATACGACTCATCTCAGCGTGTTTATGAGAAAACGAGAAGGATAAGAAACCTTCTCAAAGGGGCTATGTTGAGGGCATTCATATACTCTACGTTCTGGAAAACTGAATGGACTTGTCAAAAGGAAAAAAGAATTGAAGGGTGCTTTGGTCATATAATTTCACTTTTTGAATTTGTTGGCTTAATTAATGATATATAGGTTTGGTTGGGCAGTGAGGGGGTGGGTGGGTTGAGGGCTTTAGCTATTACGGAATATCATGTTGAAGATGTTGTTTGCATAGGCTAAGTTGAGATGGCCCTTGTTGTATTTAAAAAAAATTGAAAAAGGAGGAGATATCTGAGGTGTTAAGTACTGTATAAAAGTTATGTCTTGAGTGAATTATAAAGATTGTCTTTATCAGGAGAAATGCTAATTTTCTAGTTTTGATAGTCAATATGATGGTAAAAGGAGATAAGTGGCAAAGGTTGAGGAACTTGAGACTTAGGTCACAGGTTCGAACCCAACACCATGCGAACTAAGCCTAGTATTTTAGTGGGATATAAGGGCGAGCTGAATATCCCTGAGTTTCGAAGATTGTGGTTGGTCCAGATGGATTTCTTGGTCATAAAAAAGAAAGTTCCAATTTTCCTTCATCTTGGTAAGCAAGTATTACGTCATGTGTTTCTCCTTCTCGATCATTGATCAGAACAAGCTATGTACATGCATTATATGCCGTTCTCACTAAACTCGAGACTAGCTTGAGCTTTTAACCTTCCAACTTGATCAGCTGAGTTTATGCGATTAGTGTTCATTTGCCTACTTATGTAGTAAGGGGTCGTTTGGTTGCTGGTTAGAGTTATGTAGGCATTAGTAATGTAGGGGTTTATTATGCAGGAATTAGTTATGTTGGTATTAGTTATGCAGGATTTAGTTATGTTGGAATTAGTTATGCAGGGGTTAGTTATGCATGAATTAGTCATGCGAGAACTAGTTATGTAGGGATTAATTATGGGGAGATTAATTAAGTTGTAGTTATATAAAGATTAGTAATATAGAAATATAACGTGAGTATTACTTATTGTTAGTCTAGTTTATTCTATTAAAATTGTAGTATTTTTGAAATATATTCTTAAACAAAAAATATAAGTTTGAATGGAGGATGTTCTTGTCATTTTGGGTTTTAATATAAGTATTACTAATACATTTATAAATCATTCCATCTTCTACCATACATAAATAATAGATTTCCTCAGAACTTATACATGTATTAGTTATGCGGAAAAGAATTATGAACCAAACATTCTATTAGCAATGCTATGTTTTATGTGGAAAAGAGAAAACCAACCTAACATTGTATAACTTATGCTCGATTCTATGTGGAGATTTTTCTTTCCATTTTTTTAACCAAACAGTGCATAAATTGTTTTGTTGTTTTGGTAAGGTTATAGGACAAAAGTTGTGGAACATTTTTTGTGCAAGTTGGGATATTTGGAATGAAAATCAATAATTTATCAACCATTAAAATTATTCTGGCCATGAACAGTTGATTAGCTTCTCAAGCTGCTGCCAACCTGCTAACCTAATCATTGTGAACTAGTGTCTGAAATTTTCTTTCAAATTTAAATTTGTTTTTGATCATTGTTAGGTTTTCATCTATACATATCTTTGGAAGACCAAATTTTCATATTTATTTTGCATTGTCTCTACCAGATAAGCTAATGGGTGATAAGAAGAAGGCGGGAGCTCTATTCGTGAGGCTCGTTTCAGCTGCTGGAACTGGGTTTTTCTATGTAAAGAAGAAGACCAAAAAGCTTCAAACGACTCAGACGAAACTTGAATTCAGAAAGTTTGATCCTCGTGTGAATCGTCATGTTTTGTTCAAGGAAGAAAAGATGAAGTGATACAAATGCCAAACTTGTATCAAATTGTCTTTTAATATCTGGCTTTCCTTTGCAGAAAGCAGAAGTGAAATTAGATAAAAGAAGATTGCTCAACTTTGTACCAAATTGTCTTTTAATATCTGAATTCGTTCGTGATCTTGTCGAGTGAAACACAGTTATAGAAGAGCGAGCGGCTGTGAACGAGATTCATTTTGTTCTCCCATTACAGGAAATTAGCTAAAAGAACCTTTCAAAGGCCTGGAACCAGGTTGTTTTTGAGTCTTTGAGTTCCAACTATGGTTAGATAAAACTGGAAATGAACATAGTGATATGTAGTACCTATGAAGCTAACTACAGGAAATTATCTAAAAGAACCTTTTCTAGGCATTGCGTCATGAAATTTTTTAGTCTTTAGTTTTAATACAAGAAATAGAGCTTCAAATATGAAAATTATCAACATAACCAAATATATACGGATTAAGCGCGAACTTTAAATTCATGGTCAGTTTAGGTGTTTGCATTAAACGAATGAATGCAAGTCATATATACTTTAATTACTTAATCATGGTCAAGTGAATAAGGTAGTAATAGTAGTATATACATTTGATTTACTTTTCGCTTAATATAATATAGGCCTCTGATTTTGCAAATTTTACTAACAACCCTTCCTTTTCTCTGCCAAATTGTACTAACCACGTGAAACTTGTATTGTTCGTCACAAAACAACAAGACATCACGAAAAGAAAGAACATCACACAGCAACCAATAATTCGAAGCTCTTTTAAGTCTAAGTTACCCGTAGTTGTGGTTCCTATTGCAAGTTTGCATCTTGCTGTTCCATTATATATTTACTTTCCTCTTTGATACTTGTTGGAAACAATTCACACAACAAGTTTGATGGGCCAAAATGACAAGGCATCATATCTATTTATAGGTGATAATAGTTCATATAAAAGGATTTTACAGTTTAATTTTGTATACAACAAAAAATATTACGTTTTACCCTATTTATACAGTATAATGTTTTGACAATTTTTTTTCGTTGAACTTGAACCCCATCCCTCCACCTAACTACCCTGTGTATGAGGCTTATATAAGCTGCATTTACCAATAATTTAAATGAATTTTGAAGCCAATGTAAATTTGAGAACAGAATAGATGTAGATCCATAACATACATAGTTAGTTTTTTTTTCCCTTTTTCTTCGGTAAATAGAAGCTACAAATCCATTGGAAGGTGAACCAAGAATGCTGATATGTGGAATCGAGGTTAAACTCAAGTTGCCAGAGTAAAAAAATTCTGATAGGAAAATCTAAAATCATAAAAAAAGAAATATCATACATGAAATTCGTCTGTGTATTTTCCTTATGTCAAAAGGAATTCGAAATCTTATATACGTATTAAAAAATTTATTTTTAATATGATGCCACGTGACAGAGGGCGGGTCGATGAGACGAGTCAAGCAGGACTAGCAGGTTTTTAGGCTGACAAGCTTCTGAATAAGGGGTGCATATATCACCTTAGGCAAATCTCTGGGAGAGGAAAGTGAAAAGCTTTATAAGCATAACACAAGTTCATATAGGATGCGCGCTTCTCGACATGGCGTAGCCCGAAAGACAAATATGTTCGGGTCTTGGCCCAAAGCAAACAATACGTGCCATGAACTTGGGTCGTGACTAATATGGTATCAGAGCATGACTCTCATGCAGTACGATGGTAGGGCAAACATCAACAAGGACACTGAGTCCCAAAGGTGGGGTGAATGTGACACCCATGACGGAGGGCGGACCAATATGAGGGCAAGTCAATCAGAACTGTCCGGCCTAGTAAACTTCTAAAGAAAGGTGCACATGTCACGTTAGGCCAATTCCGCATGAGAATGAGAGAGAAACGTAAAGAACTTTATCAGGAACAATACAAGTTAACATGACACGTACATTCTTACAGATCGATGTGATGTATTCCAAAAGATAAATTCATGCAAGCCTAGACCGATCAAATCGAACCATATACATATCATCAACTTAGATCATATTACGTAGTAACTTTTCGACCACCTTGTTGCATATCGCGGACCACAACCTAGTCGGTATCACAACAACTGTGCGATTATATGGGATCTTTTATTCCCTACGATTATAGGGAATCAAAAGGACAGGAAATACAACGTACAATAATTAACTCATGGACAAATTTGCGCATAGGGTTCATACAAATACTCTGGACCATTCAATGTTTTAAAGCACGACATTCACATGCATGCTACACAACTAAAAAAATGTTTGACAAATTCTTTCTTCCAAAATAAATTGAAGAAAGCAGTGAAAGTATAATGTACACAATTTTCTTTTAACATGGATGAGGGCGCGAACGGTAGAAGGGGAGTAAAACTTATGAGTAGTATATTTCTTGCTATTTTTCAATATCTCAATTTTAGTGTGAACAAATAAATCAAATTGATCTTATTTTAACAAAGAAATTTGGTAAAATCACTACCGAGAAATGCCAAATCTTAGGGCCTAAAAACAAAAGTTAATTACATATAGGAATTTTTACATTCCTATGCCACATAGGAAACCTTATTACCCTCAATGTTTAAGGTTTGACTTAATTACACTTAGTATACCAAATTACCAATTCTATACCATAGTGTATTGTAAAAATAGGCTTCTTTTGTTTAAAATACACTGCAATTGACTTTTTTTGTCCTTTCTATTCTCCCAGTTCTTTAATACTACTAAATCTCGCCAAGTGCCTCTCAAATTTTCCAAAATCTATCGAATAGATACAGGAACCATACTTCATGCTCATGATATTTTTAGCATTTTACTGCGTAATGTAGAACATCGTGTGCTTCGAAGTGATTGAGTAGTTCAGGCTTCAAATGGAGTTAAAATAATATTTGAAAATTCAAAATAATGAAACAATCTGATTTTCCAAATAATGATATACTTTTTCAGAACCACACAATAGGATGAAGGCACAATCATGAAAACAGTAATGAATTCCATAAGATAACCTATTCGAATATTTTACTCTTTATAAAAGCGCTGGACGAAAAAGCTTCTTAATTATTTGATGAGAATACTTTTCTAATTCTCTCACATTACCCAACATATTCCTAACGAAACTTTTCAAGATAATACACACCACCTATTCTTAGACAATGATCTTAATTGCGTTTTTTGCAGAAGATTTGTAGAAGTTTTAGTCGTTTTTGATTTGTGAAAATAGAAAACAAAGCATCTACAATCAGAATACAAATAATCTATAATTTATCTACAAAATATCTACAAACTGGGTACATTAAATTTTAATATCCCAATTCCCATTCAATTGTAGCTTAATTGGTATTTTCGACATAATTGCGTTTTTTGCAGAAGATTTTGTAGAAGTTTTAGTCGTTTTGGATTTGTGAAAACAGAAAACAATGCATCTACAATCAGAATACAAATAATCTACAATTTATCTACAAAATATCTACAAACTGGGTATATTAAATTTTAATATCCCAATTCCCATTCAATTGTAGCATAATTGGGATTTTTGACATAATTGCGTTTTTTTAGAAGATTTGTAGAAGTTTTAGCCGCTTTTTATTTGTGAAAACAGAAAATAAAGCATCTACAATCAGAATACAAATAATCTACAATTTATCTACAATTTATCTACAATTTCTGCAATATGTCTTCTTCTTCTTCTTCTTCTTCGAGTTTCAATCTGAAATTCAGTCAAAACCAAGTCTAATCTTCACCAAAACCCCTCAAAATTGAGATATAAACTCCAAACCATATTCCCGATTATTTTCAACAACACCCAATCCAAACAAATAATGATTTTTGAAAATCCAAATTTGAATTCAAAGCTTTCAAGCTTTTTAATGGTTGTCAATGGTGGAAAATAACTGGAAGAATATTTACTTCCATAATTGTAGCGCGCCTAAATAGGAATATCTGGAAGAATATTTAGTTCCAGATTTGTAGCACGCCTAATTAGGAATGAATCAGCTCCTAATAATTGGTATTTAATGAATGGTATATATTTCGTAGAATAACTGTGAATATGGCGGGTAAATATGAAACTATGCATATTTTTGGTAATAAGGTTTCATATATGGTATAGGAAGGAAAAAGTCTCTTAAATATGCCAAATCTTAGGGCCTAAATCGGCCTCTACTTTGCTGCTGAGTTGTTGACTTCTTTCTAATTAATAAAGGGAAATTACCAGCTATGTCCATTTATAAGTAGCTCACTACAAAAATTAGCCAATTGATAAAATATTACTAATATTAGCCAAATTAGCCAATTAGCTATTTGTAGCAAAAAATATCAAATTTTTGCTTTTTGTTTTGAGTGGGTGTTATTAGAATAGATTGGGCACAACTTAAGGAGCTTGAATCTCAGTTTTGGGATGATTTGGTGAAGTTTTGAGGTGGTTTGAATTGAAAATTCGAAGTAAAAGCTGAACATGAAAAAAAATGATATGTGTATCACATATGTATCATATTTGTATTAATTGTGTATCACATGTATATCCATGTATACCTGTGTGTGAGATACATGCGTGATTCATGTTTGATACATGTGTCGCAGAAGACTTTTTTTGAGCTCGATTTAATTACGAATTTTGATGCAAAACTAGTCCAAATCACCTCCAATCTTCCTCAAATTTTGTATATTGACTTATTTATATATTTTCAATGAATTTCAACTATACCCATTGAAAAAGTTCCTTTTTTGTTTAGTTTTTTGGAATATTGTATAGATTTTTGTATTTCATCACCTTATTTGCTACTCCGTCCATGAAATTTCCTTTCCGTCTTGTAGCTAATGTTGCTAATCACGCTTAAAAATATGGAAGGTGATTTTTGCATGTGATTCTTTGAGAGAAAGAACCCTATTATTTGGTTTTTCAATTTTTGTTGGCTAATTTTGGTAAGTCTATGACTAATGGCTAGAGGTTGATAAGTTGAGATTTATTTGGGACATTTATGTAAGTTTCCTTAAATAAATGGCGTCCACTTTCATTGATAGAAAGTTTTAACACGTTTTAATTAACACAACAAATTTCGATACTCTTTTGTTCTTTTTGAGTACAACAATAATTAAACGACAAAAGTGTATATAGAAGACATTTGCCATATATTTATCCGTTTAACATAAATACATATTGAGTGTGAATAAATAATTTTTTCTAAAAATTAATATGAACACTATCCACTTCCACTCTGTACAGATTTTGGTTTGAGAACAGTTTTTAAGACCAAAATAAAAATAAAA